AATCCATGTGAGCCCTGGTTTCCATACCTATAAACGGGAACCGAGATTCCACTTTCAGGAGTGTTCCGGTGGTTAACTGAGATAATCCACGAGAAACAAGCAAAGTGTTTATTGTGTCTCCCCATTAGAAAGCACAGTGCACAATGGTGGGGAACTTTGTCTATTCTGTTTTCTCCGTTCCTCCAGCCCTCGAACAGTGTCTGGCCCATGGCAGGTACTCAATAAATATTTTAAAACCAATGAATAAATAACAGCCAACATTTATTGACTGCTTACTAGGTTCAAGAACTCTTCTAAACTTTTTATATGTTTTATTTCATGTAATATAAAGAACAAATAGAATAAAAACTGTAAGATATTTTTAGATTGCAAGTGCTGCAAGGACAAACAGTGTGCTTATATTCATACTGGGCACTCAGTATCAGCTGAAAGATTGATTGAACGAAAGAATGCTTGAATCAGAATTAATTGCCAGACTGCCTTCCATTAAAATATGATGGACAAAGCAGCGGGCAGCATCAGATTCCCTAGACGATGGGTTTTGTCTGGGGGAGGGGAGTGAGGATAAGAGTTTCCTGTTTCACAAATCTGTCCATGGCTGACCCTTTAGGCTTTGGCCTTGACTTCCCATAGATCCCGGTCCGTGCCTGGATATGTGCTTTGGTGCTGGTGTCAGGATGCGGCATAGCAAAGATCAGGTCTCCTGGGGGAAACTAGTTCTAATAAAAAGTCTGGGAATGGGATGGGATAGAGGGACTGGGTCCTAAACTCCAAAGGCTGGTCCAGGAAACTGGATCTTGCTCTCTCTCAGGAATCAAGACTGAAAATGCCAACTGCCAGGCCACACAAGCAACTCTTTTGTATTCCATAGAAAGAAACATGATGAATATGTATGGAATTTTCTCCCCACAGAATGTAAGGGGAAGGGGTGTGTCATTGGTCAGAGAAGGTCAGAATTCACTATGGGCTGATGGATTTTTGTGTCTGTTGGGAAATGCCCAAGGGATGTGTTTGGGTGGGGATGGCTGTTCCTTTAGTTGTGTAATTAGATTTCTGGATGGAGAGCATAGGTTCAGGAATCCAAAGCAAAAGAGCGAGCAAGGCTGACTCAACGGAGAGCTTGTGATTGCGCCGAAAGAGGGCTTGGCAGCCCTGCTGTAGAACAGACTGTCCCAGCTGCTTTCCAGCCTGGGCGGGGCATTGCTGCTCCACGGTCCCCACTGAGCTTCCTTCACGTGGGGATTCTATGTCACCCAGACCTGTCTGAACTAGTGGCTTCTCTCTTGGTTTGTTCCTGAGGATTCTAGAGAGACTGGAATGCAGAGCAAGGGTCTAGGACTTTTCCAAGAAACTTGGTTCTCTTCCCCACCCTCCTGTCCCATCATTGGCAGATTCAAGGCTTCAGGTTCATGGTCACTGAGCACAGGTCTGTGGCCAGCAAGTATCACTTGGGACACCAGGTGATACAAAGAAATGTGTTCTGATAAAGAGTTGAATAAATGAATGAAACCTGGGACAGAAGTGGGTCTCACATACCTGATCCCTGGTAATCTCATGGTTAGGAACAGAGATCCCTGAAACAGGCCGCTTCCAGGCAAACTCCAGAGGCTAGAACTTTCTATTAGAATAAGCAGGGCTCACCCTGTACCAGTCTTGAAAGAAAGACCTTCCTTTTCTAGACCCTGAGCTCCAACTTTCCCCAAATACGGACAGTGGGATAATTCACTGAGTTACTAACTAGTTTCATGTTCCCTGTATATGCCTTTGCCCAATCCCCACCCTATTTCTAGCAGAGAACCAGACCCTTTATGAGAGGACTTTTCAGGGCAGAAAATAGTTATATTTTGAAGTCAATGGCTTTAAACCACTGAAGAGATTTCCCTAGATGTCCAGAGGAGGGGAGAGAAAATAGGGGAGATAGCTTCAGAATAGAAAGAAGAGGTTCAGCTGCCCCCCTTCCACGCTAGAAAGAAGTTAGAGAGCTGTGAAGCCCACCCCCTCCTCCCTCCCAGACAGCACCCTAAGGGCAAAGCCTCAGAAGAAAATAGGGCCAGGATCATAGGTGGGTTGGGCCCAGCACCGGGCCTTCCAGACTCAGCCAGGAGTCGCACGCCCCAGGTGGGCCTGGAGCAGGTTGCCATCCACCTCACTGGACCGCGAAGGCCCCAATAGGGAAGATGTCTGCGGCAACCCTGATGAACTGATGTTCTCGTTCAGAGTCCACGAGAGCCTCTCAGGTTCTGCTAGTCAGTAATGATTGAGACTAACTTTCCATCATCCCTGTGGGATGGTGATTTGGAGTTGAGTTTTCATGTGATTTAAATAAATTGTGATATTTCTGGCACACTTCTGTTGTGGCCTCAAATTCACCCTTGTTACATAGGGAAACAGCTCCTTGATTTTGATTTTTTTTTTTTTTTTTTTTGCCTCTACCTCGGCTGTCATGATTCTAAGGACCCCACAGATTCACTGTCGGTTGAATCAGGGAACTGAGCAATTGGGTGGGTGGGAGTGGGGAGGTAGAGCTCTAGGCTCTAGAAAACCATCTGGAGTGAGCCCTGAGGGTCTGCTTCACCCAGTCCCCCTTCTGCCTGTGCTGTGGACTGAAATTCTCAGCACCCTGAACAGGACAGATGTGGGGTCCCTGCTGGTTTGGAATTGCTGTGCCTCTGGGAGCAGCCAGGCAGGGTGCTCCCATCTCCAGGATGGATGACCCGTCAGGTGGGAACATGGTTGAACAGATGAAGGTCTCACTCCATCTCCACTACCACAGCCCCAGTTAAATCCACAGCTACCAGTTTTTCAATTCTTTTCTTGTAATCAACACGTCATTACAGCATTAGGGACCAACTGGAGGGGGAGTGACCTGGGGCTCTTTTTCCTGGTTCTCTGAATGTGGCATCTGACACCGTCAGGAGCAGCCATGTCGGAGAGAAATTAGAGGCCTTGCAGTCAGCCTTCTCTCTGGGAGGAACACAGAGGGACTGGCTGTGTTTGAAGGGCCCCCAGTTGTGTCAATTTCAGGCTCCAGAAAGCGGGTGTGTGTGTGTGTGTGTGTGTGTGTGTGTGTGTGTGTGTGTGTGTTTGGTTGTTGTTAAAGTGGCAGAATGTCTCAAAATAGAAACATCATCGATTCATCGCAGTGGCCTTTCAGGCTGCTGCCCCTGTCAATTTCATCCCTCTAACTCGCTCCCCAGCTGCCAGGGCCTCCCCTTGGGATGGGGCCTCAGGCAATCGCCCGGATTTGCCTGGATTCTTGAAAGAGCTTTGCTGAATTGTACAGAATTTCTCCCGCGTTACTTTTTCCTTTCAAAGCAACTTGTGAAGTAGAGAGGAAAGTAAAAGTTAATTAAGCCACTTAATCCAGAACCGAAAAGAGGTTTCCAATTTCACCTGCAGGAGATCGTGCAGGGGTAGAGAGGAAAGGACTACACAGTATCATCTGCTTCCCTGAAACTATGCCTCCCCTCTTGGTTATCCCACAGCAGGTTAGCATCTATGCCCTTCACCTTGAATATTTATGTGTTTACCTATGTGTCTATTTAGGTAAATTCACTTATTAACGGTTGTTGTATGTCACTGTGTGTCAGGTGCTAGGCTGGGCACTTTACATGGATAATCTCACTTAACTCTCCCCAAACCCTATGAGATGGGTACTATTATGATGCCCATTTGAGAAATGGGAAAAACTGATGCTCGGAATATATTTTGTCATGAGCTGTGTGTTGGAGCAGAACTAGAATCTTGAGTTTAACCCTGAAGGTTCTCTATTTCTCTCTCTCTTCAGAGACATATATGTACATGAAAAATTTTCATATGCAGACATCTTACCAGGTGGTAATACTTGGTACCAGGTGGTACCTGATACTTGGGGGCAGGGACTGTATTGGTTATTTCTTTAAAAATCTCAGAATGCTGTAGATAACATTCTGTAGATTTTTGAAAAACAACCAAGGCCCAGAGGAGTTGAGTGATTTGCATGGGGTCACACAGTAAGTAATGAAAAAGTACTAGGTCTAGAATATCTGCCCTGAGAATCCAACTTTCAAAGGGCTATGGGTTTGGGAGCTAGCATTAGTTCTGGCTATCAGATGAATGAATTAATGAAAGAACAAAAATGAATGTATGTCTGAAGGGTGAGTAACTCATGAATTAGCTAGTTTAAGACCATCTCTGTCAGATCTGGTACAAAAGATGTCCAATGAGCTTCTGAATGGTATAAGTTTAACTCCCTAGTTCCCTCTATCCCAAGTCAATTGCCAGAAGGATCCTACTGACCTTTTGCTATTAACTTCTCCCCTCTTGACCCCTTTTCTCTTGTTAAGGGAATTCTAGGGTGGTATTTACCACCTCTTCAAAAGAATCAAAGGAAAACAAAACACACAATAATTTCAAAAGGGCAAAGTCTTTTAAAAAGAATTCCTCCCTCCCCCATCTTTCCCCACCAGCACACACCCTCCAAGCACTACAGGGAGAAGGCATTCTATGACTCAGATTGCTTTTTTTCCCAGGGGCTTTCCAGGAGCAAGCCTGAGGAGGAGTGAGTATAAAAATACAGGACGAGATAAAGCTGGGGGTAGGTGAGAATTTTCTTTTTTTTAATTTAATTTTTTTTTTTTTTTGCGGTACGCGGGCCTCTCACTATTGTGGCCTCTCCCGTTGCGGAGCACAGGCTCCGGACGCGCAGGCCCAGCGGCCATGGCTCACGGGCCCAGCCGCTCCGCGGCATGTGGGATCCTCCCGGACCGGGGCACGAACCCGTGTCCCCTGCATCGGCGGGCGGACTCTCAACCACTGCGCCACCAGGGAAGCCCTAATTTAATTTTTTAAACTAATTTTTACTGGAGTAGAGCTGCTTTGAGAATTTTCTTCCATCATGATGTGAATGGGTTGCCCATTGCCCTCCTGTGTGAGGAGGGAAGTCTACAGGTCAAAGTCGAGTGGTCTCTCCCCATTCATCCCCACGCCAGCTGTGCGCAGGCCATAACCTTGCTACTCACATCTGCCTCATTCCAGAGCCCTGGGATGCAGAAGGACTCCAGAAGGTCACTGCCACACAGCAGCAAGATCCGCAGCTCTGAGGAGGGGGAACAAAGTTAGAAAAGGGAGTGAGTGGAGGCCTGGGAAACATTCAAGTCTCAGCCTTCTTCCCCCGCTGAACACAGAAGTGTCCCATCCTTGGGGCTCCAGAGCCCAGTTCTTCCAGGCACCTCTGCTCACCCCTCCCCCAGGCTCATTTACAGACCACCCTCATTCCCTGCAGGACAAATGCAGCAGAGAGGGAGACTAACTGTCCTGGTTTGCTGGTACTGAGGGGTTTCCAGGATGGGTTTCCATGCTAAGCCAGGATGGCTGGTCACCCAAACAGAGACTGAGCCAGCTACATGCCTAGTGTGAGGTCTAAGGGTCTCTCCTTTGCTCCGAATCAAACCGAGTGCCCGTGGAGTTTGGTTCCTCTGCTGCTGTGCATTATCTGGGGTTTGTCTCGTCACAAGCACCCGATGTGATGGGTGGCAGGGACACCGAGTGCACCCTCCATTCATCAGCTAGCTCAGCTCATCGGATGTCCTCTCTTTACATGGCCAGTGTCCTCAGCAAAGGGCTTGAGGAGTGAGGCTGCCCCCCTTTCCTGACTCCCAGGCGTACTTCTTGCTTGTCACTTGTTTTTCTTCCCTCATTAAGCTCACTCTGAATTACCCCAGTGAGGCCACTGTCATTTAAAACAGGCAGCAAACTGACCGGGGCATGAACACTGAGCAACAGAGGGAAAAAGAATCCTGGGATTCTCAGAACCATGTGGGGAGAGACTTCCACCTGGGCTGGGATTCAGGTGGTGTGTCTGGTTCCCTGGCATCCCAGGCCCTTCCATCAAAAGGCTGTGGCTGTGGGTATCTTGCCTGAAACAGTGAGACAGCCCCGCTCTGAGCCTACCAGAGAACGCTGCCACCCTGGACCCTGAGGCCGAGAGATGGGCAGCAGCTCTGCCCGCCTCAGACCGTATAGCTAGCTCAGGGACCTGACGAGGACTTTCAGGTGGTAAGCTCGCCCTGGCTGCAGGCTGAGTGGAAGGCTGCCGGGCTGGCGATGGACAGTGAGAGCATCTCACGGTCCCAGGTCAGTGCAGCTCATACTCAGGGAGCCCCATGGAGCCCTGGGGTCTTAACTCTTAAATATTCCTGCAGCCTCCCCTCTCCCCTCTCCTCATCACACTGTAGTCTCATGGTCTGTTTATGTCCAGGGACCTTAGTTGATCTTTATATCTCCAGGGCCTGGCAGAGCGACCTGTGCAAGAAGGTGCTCAGGATGTGTTGAATGAGTGAACAACAGACAGGCTGACCGCAGAGGCCACGTGGGCAGGCTGTCTAAGAGCCTTCTGGGCGCTCTGGGATGGCAGTCCGGGATGGCGATTGTGGCCTTGTCTCTTGCAGCATGGAGGCCCTGGTCAATGGTGCCTCCCTCTGTGTTAGGCCACCAGCCTTCGGATGGCTGAGAGGAGCCAGACTGGGCTCGTTCTGGGATCCTGTTGTTCCCTGTCCCCAGCTTGGAGCCACCCAGAATTCCAAGTCAGTTCTCTGTTGAAAGGCTGAAGCTCTGTAACTGCGGGCCTAAGAGCTCAGTTAGCTGGCGGTCTCCGGACGACATGCTGGTCCTCAGCTTTTTCTACATCAGTGATTCTCAGCTGGGGGCAATTTTGTCTCCAGAATTTGGCCATGTCTGGAGACTTTTTTGGTTGTCAAGACTGGAGAGAGGGGTGTGCCACTGGCACCTAGTGCTTAGAGGGCAGGAA